TCGTGTAAAAGCCAAACGGCTGCAATACAACGGGATTCATCCGTCCTCTTCTGGTGAGATCGACCTACGAGTTTCTTCTTTATGCACTTTCATACGAAATGAAAGTCTCCCTAACAATGATATCGCAGGAGATTCATTGAAACCCAGTTTTTCTTAGTAGACTATTTAGTCAGTGATATATAAGCTGAAACCTTTTCTCATGCCATAATCTTGCCGTAGTGCCTTCTTTCTAAGAAGATAGGTGAACAAGTGAAGAAGTGGGGGATACAAACAGTGTTCAAAGAAGCCCACATACTTTCTTCTGCCATGTCATCTTTTAGAGAGGAATATTATCCATTATTGAGATCCGGTTTCTACAAGACTGTGTGTTCCTGTGATCGTCCTTATATTGGTGAGACATGCCGGTCTATTCCCCGAAGAATAGGTGAAGACAAAAATGCTTGTAAGGGAAGCTGGTTTAAACAGTCAGAAGTGGCCGAACACATGCCTGAGATTGAGCATGAGATGGAATAGTCTCACAAATCTACAATCACAGCTCCAAGGCAATCCCCCTATAGCTTCGGGTGAGATCAGCTTACTAATCTCTTCCACTCGCCTCTTCAAACGAAATGAAAGTTGCTCTAATATCAATCTATTAAGGGAGTCTTCGAGACCCACTTTTTATGCATAGCTCGCAATAATTGTTTGCTGTAAAGAGGGGACTAGTGTTGGCCAAAATAACAAATGAGAATTTACATGTCAATCCAATAATTTATCTGGTATATTAAAGAAAAATACCATCATGTAAGTAAAATTTGTATTGTTAACTGAAATATGCATATAAAAAAGGACGAGATAATAGTTTGAAATACAAGTATAAAAAATTAAAGTAAATTTAAAAGAAAATGACTATGATAAAAAAAGGCGAGATAAACTCGGAAGCACATATATACATTGCAAAGGGAATTATTTACAATAGAAGTATACCAATCATAAATTGCAACCTTTGATGAAAAATTGGACGACTTTAGTGTTTCAAACGAGCGTCATGGTTACTGGAAGAATAAAGAGTCCACATTCTTAGACGTAGCCTCTGATGCGAAATAGTAGTGGTAAGGCAAAGTAAAATATACAAGTGAACCCCCGGTGTCCATAACAATATTTAGAAGGTAGCTATAGAGATAGAGAAATTTCCGACTTGATTTATGGTTGCAGAGATGGATGTGACCTCAAATAAAAAGTCTATTGGCTAGTAGTTTAGGTACTAATCTCAGAAATGCGATTGCTTTGGCCTCAAGAAGCGGAGGAAGTAGGTTCGATTTCCGCCATAATTTATTTATAATGTTCACTGGGTCCGAGCAGCGACGTGCTCCTAATTAGTCCTGTCGGCTTTGTAGAATTGACATCGAAGCTCTGAATTATTTTGAAATAATAAGGTAAAGAGTAGAAGGTTTATAACAAGAAAGTTGATAGAATAGATTAAATCAGAACTGAAGGAAAAAGGGCAATAAAATAGTAAGGCCGATTTATTATAAATTTCGGTAGCTTAGATTTCCCCCCATCAATACATTCTTCTAATCATTTCATATGGCGTTGTACCTGTTTCTACAACAAAAGCGAAAGAGCCCACCAAAATTTTGACACGATTTTGTGCCTGTTGGAGCGAAACCCAAACAATTTCTTAGATATAGCAAGACCAACGTATATATCTTGGACCAAGCAAGTATACATAAAAAAATAAGGAAACGAGATTTCTCTAGGTATGTACGTTACAACACAAATGAACCCAACAAGCCTCTGGTAGACGAAAAACATATAGCCTAAGAGTGATTTCAGTCTAGTTCGAGAGGCTCATAAAAGAAATAAAGTCTGAATTATTATTAGCGAGGGTACAAGAGGATTCGAGACTTTAATATTAAAGAAGAGTAAATGCATAATGTAGGGATACAAACAGAAAACTCCTGAGTTCCATTCAAATCCATTACGAGGGTCCGAATATGCCATAGGCTTTCTTCGAGACAAGCAATCTTAACAAATGAATAAAAACATCGCCATGTAGCTAGTACAAAGACATGTAGTGTGGCAACCAGGAAGTACCTCAAAGTGGTGGAATATGCTCATGTACGCCAACGTCGCCTGAAGGAGGAAAAGGTAGTGAAAAGCGTTTGTTTCCATAATGGTTTAAGGGTGAAACTATTAATTAATTCTCGAAATCATTTATTTTCGTTCACGAGTAAGTGAATGTGGAAAAGGAAAAAGTAAAGTGCCACACGATGGGCAACAAAGACAGCAGGCCAAGATTATCAAGCTGAAGAGGAGTATAAGGGGTTGGAGATGTAAAAGATAAAATGTACTATATGAAATATTTGCACATGTAAGGGGACATTTGGCTGCGAGATGTGTGGTCAGAACAAAGGTCTGAAAAGTCTATTATTATTATATTCACATTCCTGTGCGATCTGGTAATCACATTAGAGCTCAAATGAATACTCGAGGAGGGAGTCTATCATAATACCAAAAGCAGGCCCGGGAATGAATAGTCGGAAAGCAAAGTAGTGTGAGCCACCAAGTTTGTACATCAACATGAGTCGACATTGAGTGCATTTGCTTTATTTAATGTGTGCATCGATCATATGAGACGGAAACCCTAGCGATGCTTCAGCAAGCCGATTTGAAATAGTAATAGCCAAAAGGGAGCAGAGAATAAAATGATTTCGCTACATGTTTATTCAAGCAATTCAGTAACTTCAGTACTTCAGTAACCTATGGGTCACAGGGTATACACGATTACATGAATAAAAGCTGTAGTTAGCCTAGGTTACATAAGGTGAGAAGGACTGATAATTGAATTTGCTAATTGAAGTATATTATTGCTAAAAATACCCCAAATCACAGTGTGCGTTCTCATTCATTACGATTAAGATAGGTAGCACAAGGTGAGTTTTATCAAATGGCCAAAGCTTGTCAAATGATTGAGATAAACTAGCTTGTCAATTTAAGGCTTAATTTGGGGCTAAGCATGGAATATTCTGAATGATCATGCTGTAAAATATGTGGAAAAATAAAAAATCATGAATAGCATAAATATAAAGATAAAACATAGACACGATGTGTAGATAAGGGGAAATCAAAGTATGAAAGTGAATGAAGAAGGCCTTCATAAGCTGATCTCGCCAGAAAATGACGGCTGATTTCTGTTGTACTGCAGCCATTTGGCTTTAAGACGACTTTCTGGTTGATTTAGTCCACGAGACATCCTCCCTCGCTTTGACCATCATATCATGAACATCATCAGAGCTGGAACTCATTCTTGTAAGTCTCATGTTAATACTAGGTCAAGAAGAGCTAGCGTTGGCGTGAGACTTAGACAAATGAGTTTTGGCTCTGGTGACGTTCATCATATGATGTACGAAAGCTCTGCCCGTTTTCATTCGAAGCTAAGAATGAAGTCTCGCGGACTGCGTCAGCCTGAACATCGTATCAAATCAATGTTATATAAAGCTCAAATAGTCATCAGCCGGAGCTAAGGGCAAAACATCTTGTTTCTTTAATTGCATGTCAAACAGTAAGTAGTTGGATTATAATGCCTCTTTAGTACTCTTTCGGGACTTTATCATGAAATTTGTGCAACATCCTGCATAAGACTTCTAAAATATTTGTGTTTGACCAAGTCGAATTCAGAGAGACAAAATAACTATTTTCAATACACATATATAGTGCTGATTTGAGTACAAATCTTGGCTGGCAAAGTTGCATGTTTATAAATAAAGTAAAGCAACTGGATTCTAAAATGAACTATTTTTAATGTATACTCATAGATTATAAGTTTAAAGACTGTCCCTGGCTCTTGAATAAGACATGTAGTCACCATATAGTCACATACAGTCAGCGAGCTTTGCAGAAAGTTTAGGCAAAAGTTCATCATTAATAACCTACCTCGCAGGATATTGTCAATCTAAACTTCTGCCCATTAGACATTTTACCAAGGCAATGCTTTGGTTTGACTTGACTTGACTCGGCGATTCCGACACTAGACTTTTGATCACAGGGACTTCCAGTAGACCAAGTGATCTATCGCCAGATACACGGGCTCCTGAATCAAGTATGGTTGCCGCAGAAGAAGAGTCCGTAGCCAAATAGCCGCCTGAAGTGTTTGGTGGAAGAAGCCATGTAATCGAAGAGTCTACACTGTATGCAGTTTGGTCCGTGATAGGTGGCCAGGTGCCTGAGGGGTTAGCTGACAATAAGCTAGTATCGGTAAAGGTGGCCGCGTTGAGAGTGGCGACGGCAGAACAAGTGAAGGGTTGAGGGTTTAGTTGTGGTCCCTCTGAAACGACGTTTGGTGAGGTAGATGCAGGAGAAGGAGACACGAACTCAGCAGCAGAGGCAACAGTGGCACTCTCACTGCCTACGGCAGAGTCGGAGCCCTCACTGACAACGGAAGGCACTCCGTCAGCACGGATGCTCGGCTAATAGCATACAAATTATATAAATAAAATGATGAAAATAACCGTTTTAATTTGCTTGCGAAATTTATCCAAGGATAAGTGTAGATATGTTGATTATTTGTCAAATAAGCAGAATGAGCGACGTAGTGACGCTTCAAAAATCAAGTTATGTATGCTTTAGGTTTATTATAACAGAAGAATGAATCAAAAATATTATAGAGCAAGAGGCAAATCAAGTTGATGCTATAACATGCATCAGAGGATGTTGCACAATGTGAGCAGCCATGTCATGTAATATTACTTCGTGGTCATTTCAAAAAGGAAGTTTAAAGGCCTGCAGCTCAAATTTCTTAG